AGAAAAGAATTTGCGAAAAATGCGCTCTGATATTTATGGAAAAGCGGGGTGTTACAGCAGGGGCTCTCGATGGCGCGGAACTTCCCGCGACCGCGCGCGGCGTTGGTGCGTGGGTGTGCTGACCGTTGTGCGTGCGTGCGGGACAATTGCTAAGGCTTGATATACTCGATCGACAATAATTCGTCCAAAATGGCTCAAAATACTCGGAATTGACTCGAGTTTCTTTTCATCCTCGAAATAGACCTGAAAATATATCAAAAGCACGGACAAGTACGCCAAGATACAAAATAGAAGTGAAAATATAAAATCACACGAAATGCGACAAAATGGACCGGACGACACTAAAACGAACCTAAAAATGACTCGAACACACATATAAACACATAGAAATAAGCATAAAAACATACTAAACAGTCGACTCTACGGCTGGTTGCGAATTATTAAGCATTATGGATGCATCTCAGGGATACCATCAAATTCCATTGTGCCCGGAAGATCAGAGTAAGGTAAGTTTCGTGACGAGTAAAGGGACGTACTGTTATGTCGTCATGCCCTTTGGGCTTAAGAATGCTGGAGCAACCTACCAACGGTTGATGGATCGAATGTTTAAATCTCAGATTGGGCGAAATATCGAGGTATATGTGGACAATATCTTGGTAAAAAGTAAGGCTTCAGCCTCACACCCAGACGATTTGAGGGAAACGTTCACAACCCTTAGGGCGTTCGGGATGAAGCTGAACCCAAACAAGTGTGCCTTTGGAGTAAAAGCCGGACGATTCTTGGGGTATATTGTCACAGAGCGAGGAATCGAAGTAAACCGGGAGAAAGTGAAAGCCATACTCGACATGGCTCCACCAAGAAATATAAGAGATGTGCAAGTTCTGACGGGACGAATTGCAGGGCTGAGCAGGTTCATCGCTCGAGCTGCAGAAAAAAGCTTCCCGTTCTTCAGATTACTCAAAAAGAGGTCGACCTTCTCATGGAGTGACGAAGCACAAATGGCCTTCGAAAAGTTGAAGGAATTCTTGGGCGAGTTGCCTCTGCTGACAAAGCCAGAGCCCGACGACGAGCTGGTGCTTTATATATCTGTGGGTTCGGTATCACTATGTTCAGTATTATTGCGAGAAAAAGGAGGTGTTCAACAGCCAATTTACTACACCAGTCGAGTTCTCCAGGGCGCAGAGACAAGATACTCTGAGATCGAGAAAACCGCTTTAACGCTGGTAGTAACGTCTAGAAAACAAAGACCATATTTTCTGAATCATGTGGTAGTAGTCAGGACGAACTTCCAGCTGGGTGAAACATTGGGCCGACCTACGGTATCAGGCCGACTCGTTAAATGGGCAGTCGAGCTGAGTGAATATTCCCTTAAGTATGAGCCGAGGCGAGCCATAAAAGCTCAAGCCCTGGCAGATTTCATCCAAGAAGGTACCAAGGGAGAAGAAAAGAAATGGATCATGCACGTCGATGGGTCCTTAGCGGCCAAAGGGTCTGGACTGGGAATCGTCCTCGTATCACCCGAGGGCGAGCAACTGGACTTTGCTATTAGAATGGGATTTAAGGCCTCAAATAACGAAGCAGAATACGAGGCGTTAATCAAAGCAATTGAACTCGCAATTGGTGGAGGAGCGTCAGAAATTGTGGCACATTCCGACTCACAACTAGTTGTTGGACAAGTGTTGGGAAGTTGCGAGATCAAAGAAGAACGAATGATGAAATATGTCGAAGAAATCCAAAGTCTTGTGCAGGGCTGGAGAAATTTGAACTAACACAAATCCCTCGAGAGGAAAATAAACGCGCAGATTGGCTCGCAAGAATCGCGAGCTCGAATGATGGGAAGATGGGAAACTCTATCACCACCATGCATCTAGAGGGAAGCGTGTTGGGCGAAGCTATGGAAGTCGAAGACAAAGAGGATTGGAGGATGTCGATTCAAGAACTTTTGCAAAGAAAAATACCTACCGGGGATAAGCAGGAAGCCGAAAGGGCCGCTAGATACCTAACTAAGTATTTTAAAATTGAGGGAGTGCTATACAAGAGGTCATATATCGGACCCCATTTAAGATGCATTTCTGAAGACGAGGGAAATTACGTCTTGCGGGAAATTCATGAAGGATGCTGCGGGGCTCACATCGGGTCTCGGGCTTTAGCTGGAAAGGTGCTGCGCGCCGGCTATTATTGGCCAAAAGTCAGGAGAATGGCCGAGCAGTTGGTACAAGAGTGCGAAAGATGCCAGCGTCACGGCCCGATCCCTCATATCCCCGTTGAAACTATGACGACAATCAGTAGCCCGATCCCCTTTTCTCATTAGGGAATCGACTTGGTGGGACCTTTGCCAATGGGGACCAGGCAAAGGAAATTCCTGGTAGTCGCAGTCGACTACTTCAGCAAATGGGTGGAAGCAGAACCGCTGGCAAAAATTACTGAGGAGAGAATGATCCAGTTCCTATTCAACAACATCTGCTGTCGATTCGGGATCTCGAAGATATTAATTTCAGACAATGGAACTCAGTTTCAGGGCAAGCGAATCCAAGCATGGTGCCTTGAAATGGGAATCAAGCAGAGGTTTGCTTCAGTCGCTCACCCCAAAGCCAACGGGCAAGTCGAGGTTACAAATAGAACCATCCTACAGGGGCTAAAGAAGCGATTAGAGAAGGCATCAGGAGCCTGGATCGATGAGCTAACCACCGTTTTATGGTCATACCGGACTACGCCAAGATGCTCGACAGGCCAATCACCATTCAGTTTGGTGTATGGAATGGATGCCCTCCTGCCAGTAGAAATCTCACTAAGTTCGCACAGGTCGACTTTTTTTGAACAGGAAAAGAACGAGGAACTGGCAAAAGAAGCCCTTGATTTGATTGAAGAAGGACGAGAAGAGTCATGGCTGTGAACAGTTGAATACAAGCAAAAGATGCGCACAACATTCGACAAGAATGTCCGAACCAGACGATTCCAAGTAGGGGATCTCGTCCTCAAGCGTGCAGACGCCCTCAAACATTTCGGGAAGCTAGAGGCCAACTGGGAAGGGCCTTACACAGTCACAAAGGTTCTCGAGAGAGGAGCATACGAGCTAGAGGATGGGGAAGGTCGCCAATTGCCTCGATCTTGGCATGTGATCCATCTTAAACGCTTTTACGCCTAAAGGCTGAGTCTCAAGCCTCTTTTTGTAATGAAAAACGTTCGAATGAAATTCAGTAATGAAATGAATGTTATGTTTGATGATTGGATTGTCTTTTTACATTTTACCACGATTATCCGCATACTTAAACTTTCTTAAAGAAATACATCAGGTTGGGAAGACGACTACAAAGTCAATCTAAAACAACTTCAAAGTTGTATGCCTCGAGCGAAATCTCGGCAAGGCTACGAAGCCTACGACTACAAAGTCGATTTAAAACAACTTCAAAGTTGTATGCCTCGAGTGAAATCTCGGCAAGGCTACGAAGCCTACCACTACAAAGTCGATTTAAAACAACTTCAAAGTTGTATGCCTCGAGCGAAATCTCGGCAAGGCTACGAAGCCTACGACTACAAAGTCGATTTAAAACAACTTCAAATTTCTGCGCCCCGAGCGAAATCTCGGCAAGGCTACGAAGCCTACGACTACAAAGTCGATTTAAAACAACTTCAAAGTTGTATGCCTCGAGCGAAATCTCTGCAGAACTACGAAGCCTACGACTACAAATTCGACTCAAATGATTACAAATTGTCATTTTAACTAAAAAGTGTCAACACGTAAGATGTCGATAAATTTACGACTGCGAAGTTATGAGTGAAGCCTCGATGAATTCATGATTAAAACCAATTTAAATTATAAATTCGCGAGTACAGGGCAACTCAAGCAAAAGAAGACGAAAGATAATATTCAAGATAGGTTCATTAAAAAAATCATCTCGACCTTTACAATCTAAGAATTAGGTCAAGACAAAAACAAATAGTAAAAACAAACGACAGAAAAGAAAAATTACAGGAAACAAAAGGTGACAGGCCTGTGGACACGATTCTAAGAGTCGCTCGGCTGGTTTCTCGACCTCTATAATGAAAAAATATCAAGTCCCGACTTCCCCGTCTGCAGCAGTCTCCGTCCCCTGCCGCTCAGCTGGTTTCTCAACCTCTATTTCCTCGTCGACCGGTTCCTCATAAGCAGCCCTACTCGGCTGGACCAGCTCTGTCGGACCGACTAGAGGAGAGAGAAGGAATATGAGCAGAGAAGAGAGCCCGACTGCATGAATAGCCTTAGCTTCGAGACCATCCCACCACTCACGACCAGGAATGAGCTGGAAGCCGACGGGATCGGGGAGTCTCCTTCACCCCCTCCCGGTCGATCTTGCCAGGAAAATCAGGTTGGACCACGGCTTGTTCCCACATATCACACGCAAAGTCAAAATACTGGACCGCCGTGGGAACTAGCTCGTCGAGAAAATCGGACGAACCACAAAAGGCCTTGACCACGACCTTGCGGTAATGGTCGAGAAAGACGGTGCCCGTAGGGGATTTCAAGAAGGTCCTGCGGCCTTCTTGGATCCCGGTCTCCCTCTCGACCAAGACCTCTTCATGGACCTTGGCAAGATCGTCCTTCAGCTTCTGAGCCTTCCAAACAGCCGCTTTCTTCTCAGAGCGGAGTTTGGTAATGATAGCGTTAGCAGCCTCGAGCTCCTCCTCCTTGGTTGCGAGCTCGTCGCACTTGGCCGCATATTTGTCCCCCAGAACCTTCAGGTTGTTCTGAGGGGAAGTAGCTTC